CTTCCAGATCACGTCGTTGTATCTGTTTGAATCACAAGATTGTCTCCATCCGAAATGAAGCATACCAGACAATACATAAATTATGTATCACATATCGCATCTACATGACATAATCCTACTTCGCTACACATGTCATTTTGAACAAACATTTTCCATCCACTCCAACCATTATTTTACTCTCTTTCTCCACACTGGAATTAGCAGGTTTTCCTGCAGCCACTTTATACAAAATCCACCACAACTTTTAGACACGTCATTACATCGAGGAATAAACTTTCAGGGACCACAAATTTGGGGCAAAAACACATATGAATTTTGCAAAAACTGACAAATATCATAGTGAGCCAAAAAAACTCCACTTCGCATGTCTACAAACCCTTAAAGACATCTCCTACAAATAAAATTTAAATTTACAATCAATAAAAAAAACTAAATATTCTAATTATGCATGGTTCCTTATGCGATTATGTTAAATTAGGACTTTATTGCTTTAGAATCTTATACATTTTAATGTATTTCTTGTTCTAAAAGTGACTCATTAACATTTTAACCACAATCCTCACGAAATTGAAGTGTTTTTCTGCTAACTTAAGCAATGATATTATCCTTAATTCTTTCCGCAAAAATGGTAGAAATCGCTGGGAAAAGGAATGAAAACAATTACACTTCTGGCCAAAGCACTTTTTCAATTTTGAAGTTGTACAGAGTGAAAAACTTTTTAATTACCTGTCAATGAAACCCGATTTTGCCATTGATCAGAACAAAGTTGTAGCGCAATGAATTCTTCACTGTGAGGTCTACAGCAGCAAACCTGTAGGATTCACGATAAGCTGGGTGTCAAAGTTGGATTTTGTGAGTCTAAAGAAAAGTTTACTCTGAGCTGCCATGTATATTGCGAGAGTGGCATTAATTTCAATTCACATTGACTGTCTTGTTGTTTTTTTTTCAGTGGCACTTCTTCAGTCGCCACTGGGGAAAATCAATGAATAAATAATTGGAAAAGTGTTAGTGGAAACTCCCGCGCGCCAGCATTTTGGCACTTCCTGGAGACCGGAAGACCACACAGTGCTCCGTCCAGACCTTACCCGAACCATATCTGCCACGAGTCGCTGGGGGAAAATCCAACTAGAAACTATGTAATTGGGTAGCCTGAATTATGGGCAACGATTTCCGTAATAAATTCTCATGAAAACGACTGTACCACACAATTATCTGCTAGGTGGCTTCCCTAAAACCCACCTCGTGCCGACAACATCAACAATGGCACTCAGTAAGAGGTGTCTGTTTGGATTTTCGGAGCAGCGGAAGCATTGATAGTGGAGCTAGTTATCGGGCACCAATGCCTTGTTAACATTCCGATTATTCACGTAAATTGATTTTACTCGATTTCCTTCATTTGCAATAACACTCACAATAGCAGCTAATTTATGAAGTTCAAGATATTCGTGTCGCCAGTGTTCATGTTTTTACAACATCCTAGATAAACCTCAATTTTATGTGAAATCTACCAACAGAAGTGTGGATATAATTTGTGGCATTTGCAATTTCATAGAATGGTGAACAATTGGCGTGTTTCCACATTTCGTATAAACGATGCTGAATAAAGTTGAGAATTAGAAGAGAGTTTAAATTGAAGATGGAGAATAATAGATTTTTACTACTTTATAATTTATTGAAGCATATTGTCGAACAATCTTTATATCACTTTAAAAACACTAAAGCTCTAATCGAGTTTGTAATTTTGAAGCGGAATTCGTATGTAAAAAGAATTTAAAAAAACGTCCCCATTTAATTAGTCTTGATATCACATTAAATTAGGAGAATTTTTACACAATAGTACTATGTCCATGTATAAAGTGTATTTTAAGAGTGCGAAATACCGTAATGAATTTGCTATTTGATATTCACGGTAAGTTTGAATCGTTTCGGCAGCGTAGAATTTTCATGAGGCTTCTCCTAAATCCTCGGTGTAGATTACAATGCATCGCTGGATGGCTCTGGACACAAAAGCATCCCAAATTCCCACCGATATTCATATTTAATAATGAAGTGAGTGCATCATATTACACGCTGTAGTTATATTTTTCATCCATATATGAGCTGTGGTGCGCCCATGAATTAGTTATCTGATAAATTTTGCAAATTTTCATGGAGATTTTCTGATTGTGCAATGCTAAGTTGCACACTGGCGTTCATCGATTGAATAGGTAATGCTTTCCTTGTTATACTGCCATATTTCAATATTAATCAGGCAGTGATGTAATTATCGTTTGTTGGGATACTAATTGACTTTATTACCTTGAGAAACAATGCATACATGTGTACATATTATTACTCAACTTATCTAATACACAGCATTAGTATTGATACATGTCTATCTAATTGCTATGTAATGAATAGTTTGCGGGTTAATCTATCTTGGAGAAACTTATCTGGAGAGTTATAAGACAATTATGTAATGTGGCTAGTTGGACTTTAATGTGGTAATCAATAAAGTCCTCTCGCTCCCCTTCTCTCAACATTTCGCCAATTTTTCTAGTCACCACTTTTAAATACAGTCGGGATATAATCCATCCCAGATTTCTCTTGGGACAGCGTGAGGATAAAGGAGAAGAAAGACTGCAGATTAGCACTCTGGAAAAGTCTTTCACGGCACCGCTCATTTCATTAAAGTGTCCAGCGGTGTAGAAAAAATCTTCTCAAGGGGTTGAATGGCATGAATCTTTTCGCAACTGATATCAGACGCTGAAAGGGTTCTTTTTTATCGGACAGAGGCTGTCTGGTTCTTAAGCACACACACCGACCTCCTTTCAATGCAGCCCATTTTGGGTGGGTGGTCCCTGTGAAAAATGTATTCGCTCTTGATTGCTTTTTCCTATCGTCTCCCCCCCACCACCGTGCATTACATTTTATTCTGTGGCGCTCTTTCACCTGCTCCTTCGGCACACATTCCAGGCGCTTTCATTATTTGCGTATTACACACTGTTGAAAACCGTTAGTCGACATCCCTGAGGAGGAAGATGGCTGGCGGAGACGAGAAGAGAATACACTCAAAAGCCCCGCCCACCTTATTGCCCCGCCCATCTTATATGAACGCTAACTCAGTTCTCACTTTCAACCGTAACTCTGCCTTCAGATTATGATCATCACCCCAGAGCAATCAGAGTGCAAGTATATGAAACTTTTTGCACATATCGCGTGTTTTCATTTGAAATAACGATGAACATTTAATACGAGATGCTTCTCACTAATGATCATGAATTATGATTATAATTTCGCTCTTTCCCCTAAATTCATTCTAGTGAAATCTCGCTCCTAAATCTCCTGTACACACAGCTTACATATGATGGGAGAACGGGTTGTACCAGATTCACTTCTTGTGGAGAAAATACAACTGGGAGAACATATGAGAAGCAATGAAACAAATGTGTAGATGGCATTTATTATCGCGGAATACTTGTGAATTCCATTAAAAGTGTTGCCATTCTGTGCTGAATTTTGGAGGGTTGAAAAGAAATTGCATGCCACAGAATAATATTTGTACGATAAATTTGGAAATTTTTCCCATGATTTCATCTCGTAATTGAATTTTAACGATCCCCATTCGGAGCATGAAAAACTTTAGTTGGGAGCTCAACTAACATCACTATAAATCTGTGAGGAGATTTTAAGTTCAGCAATTGTGGATTTTGCCCTTATGCACACTCCTCTTCACGATGTATAACTTTATGAGAGTCTGTCTGCCCGTTTTTGCTATTGAGTATCTCGGCCAAGAGCCTCGACAGAGAGGAAAGCGGAAAGAAGACGTGAACTGTATGCGATGCTATGTTCCAAACGAAGCAACTCCTATACTGAGCGAATGTGGGTGGAATTTCTGAAAAGACCGACTAGGTGAAAAGGCTCAAATTCACACGCGTTAAGCATTGCACATAATTTCCAGGCTATCACTGAAAAAATCTTAATAACTTGTTTGTACAGCCTTTTCGGTTGATGGCCACTTAATGCGCGCGCCCCCGCACTGGAAGTTCATTAGGAATTGCAAGTTCCTTTTCCTCCTGTAAAGTCCACACTTCCCACTTGCCATTCGTAATTTCTGCACACTCATTTCCTCTCATTCTTCCGCACCGCATAATTAAATTCTCGCATCCAACTCATACAACACATCCAGAGAGAAAGAGAGAGAGAAAAGACGGAAATGTAGCCATGAAATGATGAATTGAGGGTTGATTCTATTGAAAATTTCTACCCATTGTACACTCCATCCTAATTAATTGACTATAATATATAAACACTGCCTCCTGCCGCCCCGCAAATTGAATTTTCAAGTTGAAAATCTCCAAAATTCACCACCACACAAAATCCCTTCCGCATTTCTGTAATTGGAGTAAAATGCGAATATGACTCGCAAACTCCCCAGAATTCACCAGTGGACAAATTAGTGTACAAATACTCAATCCCCGGCAGTCCTGAATACAAAAGCACACCCCAGTCCACGGCAAATTCACTCCTCAGATGCACATTCTTGACTCCTGTGTTACTTAACAATGTATGCATCGCACGGCGAACCGGTGAATTCACTCGTGATCACAGAAAGCATCTGCAGAATGTTTGCATTGAGAGTCCTTCGGCGAATACGGTGCCTTGTCTAGTGGCATGTAATAGTGTGCTTCAGGAGCACGGATGAATGGAGACGTACCAACTCACCCGGAGAATTAGTCATCCAACCCATTCATATCCGGGGCTTGGGTAACCCTCAGCTGAGATTAAACACATTGTGAAAAGTAGAGAGTAACGCCCAAGGTACCTACTGATTTACTCTGGGCACATTTTCTTAACAGAATCTCTGTTGATGCACTGTTACAAAGCACAGCATTTAGCGAAAGCCTTCGGAGATCTTACTCGCTATCACCAATATGAAGGACAATGGCCAGAAATTTCAAGGATAGTTGGGTATAGAAAGCCTTCATTGCAGTTGATTTTATACGGAAAAGCTTAGCGACTAATGTTTTTCAGTGTTTATTTGCATGCTACTTTATCTTCAACAATTGTTCTAGCCAATTTTTACAAAAATATAAGAGAAAATCAATAAATTTCGCTGTGGCCATGCCACGTGATGTCCTGTAATGCAGTTTTTCCGAGAAATTGGAGTATTCTTAAATGCTCAGCAATGGAATTGCATAGTGTGCGCTTTGAACGTGAACAATTATTTCGTCACAGCGTGAATGGATTCGGCCAAGTATTGGACATTCTTGGAATTCACACCAGACATTGAGATGCGTCCATCCTTGGTCAGATACACGCTGTAGTCCTTAATGATGCGCTCGCACTGCTCTTGATTGAGTCCCGTGAAGCAAAACATGCCGATCTGATCGGTGATATGTTGCCAGTTTCGTGGCGATCCCAGCTTCTCAAGTGCACTTCTCAGGCTCGTTCTTACGCCAATAATCCTGTCGGCCATGCCCTTGACATCTCCCAGCCACTCCGTCCTCAGCTGCTTGTCCTTCAGGATCTCCGCCACGAGACGCGCTCCGTGAATGGGCGGATTCGAGTACATCGGTCGAATAAGGATCTTCACCTGCGACAGCACTCTCTCTGCCTCTTCCTTGTCCTTCCCAACCACCGTCATCGCGCCGGCACGCTCCCCGTACAAGCCCATGTTCTTGGCGAAGCTCTGCGTGAGAATAATGTCGTGTCCATCGGCCAGGAAGTGACGCACAGCGTAGGCGTCCTTGTCGATGTCTCCGCTGGCAAATCCTTGGTATGCCATATCGAAGAAGGGGAAGAGATTGCGCTTCTTAATTACCACCGAAAGCTCCTTCCACTGTTCAGGACGTGGATCCACTCCAGTGGGATTGTGGGCACAGGCGTGCAGCAATACAATGGACCTCTCGGGGATTTTCTGCGGAAAACATGAGGCTGAAGTAAGAATTTGCTGCGGGAAATGATGTTGGCACTTACGCTGATATCCTCAAGAGCGGCGGCAAAGTCCAAGCCACAAGACTTGGGATCGTAGTAGCGATAAGAGTTGACTTTCAAGCCGGCATGCTTGAAGATAGGCACGTGATTGCCCCATGAGGGCGCCGGTAGAAAAATCTCCCGAGAGCCTGGGAAGAAAGAGCTTAGAAAGGCGGCGGCGACTCGTAGCGCTCCTGTGCCACTGATGCTCTGCACTGTGGCATTCCTGCCGGCCGCGAGAACGGGGTTTCCCTCGCCGAGAGCCAGTTCAATTGCCAACTTCGTGAACTCCGGATAGCCGCTGATCGGGGCGTATTCCTTGTCCATGCCCCTCTCGATGATCCTGTGCTCGGCCTTGAGCACACTGGGCAAGACATACGGCTTCCCGCTGTCATCACGATACGTTCCGGCGCCCAGGTTAATCTTTTTCGGATTTGAGTCCTTCTTGAAGGCCTCCGCGATGCCCAGAATGGCATCCGGTGGCCCCATCTTCACGTCTCCCCACCACGTTGAGCTGCAAAGACATTGCCCCAGATTACGTCACTCTGAGCGGAAAATCTCGACAAGTTCACCCTCCGTAACCTCTAGATTACCTTGCGCGCTGTGCCAGAACACTTGGGGCTCCATTGCAGCTTCTGAGCAAGGATTTGGACACTAAAACCAGCGCTGGACTCGAAACCATCCTTCCAAACTCGTTTTCACCGGATCACACAAACAAGTGACAATGATGATTTTGCCTTATCACACGAAATAGCCTGACAATCATGCGCAAAATAGAGCAATTTGACGCTATCAATTTGCTTTGTTTTTGCCGAGATATCGCTATTTATTAAGTACTTTGCCCGCTTTGCCCGGCACACGAAAGCACGAAAGATGACACTTCGCGATTTCGCAGTGCTGGTGCTGGCAGTGGAGTGGCGCTACTGGGCATGCGCGCGGTGTCAAACAAAAAAGAGGCAAAAAGTTACGTGTAAACAACTCTGTGGCTTCACAAGGAATTTCCACTGAGAATTGTCCAGGATGAAGTGTATAGTATGCAAAAAGTATGTAAATGATCCATTCCTATATGGAGAATTGTATCGCTTCAAGGATATCCACTGTCATCACTTCTGTTTGGTAAATATTCCCATCTAAATGTGAGGATGCTTTTGTGCTTTACTCCCGGACATCCTGATATGCTTTTCAGCTGTTCAGCTGGACAATAAAACAGACCGGAGCTGACGACCAGGATGGTTTCGGGTTCATGTACAATGATATTTGCCTGGGAGTCGCCGAGACGAGTCAATTTGTGAGAATATTCAGGAATCTTTGCAAACGCATCCACTAATATTGCTCGTCTTACAGCATTGCTCCGTCTGCGAGCTTCCTTACGCGAGTGTTCCGTGTGGCGTCGAGACATGCGCCCAGATGTGCCATTTCACCTGTGGCTTGATGAGCAATTGGTTGTTCCAATTCGATGAGATGAACGCGTTCTGCCATGAGCACACCGGTTTGCCCGCAAAGACACCTATGGAATTCGGGCCAGGAAGTGCCTGCCTTATTTGTGCTGAGAGATTTAACAGCTACTCAGCCTTGAAGTGCATTCCAACCCACTGTCGCCCCGATATCTGGATGCATCGCTTTTGTCTGCAGAGATTCGCTTTCTGTGCCGGCATCGACCTCAAGTGTCTTCTCTGTCACAAGCCAGAGTTCCGGAACATTGCCCAGAAATATGGCGTCTTTGTTCCCAATCGAAAAGGCGATTGGATGCGGATCCATCGGAAGGAGGTTGAGTCTCAAAAGGCTAGAGATTCAATAATATTCTGTGCGGCGAGAGTGTGCATCTTCGCCGGCGGACGTCAATTCCCACCGGGTTGCGAAGTGGGTGGGACTTGCTTTGACTGCCACCAAGCTTTCCACACCACGTGCGCTTTCTTCAATAACCGAAAGAGGAAGAACGGCAAGTTATTGTGTTTGTTCTGTGATGGAGTAGATCCCGAGATTTCTGAGCCTCTGGATATGGAGCCCAAGAAGACTAATCTTGTCCTACTTTCCACCTTGCCAATCTTCCCAAATTTGGCAATGAAGAAGTTCCTCCAGGAAGTGTTCACGAATAAAGTGAACTATGTGGATGAATCTCTCATGCCAAATAGTCTTGGGCAACAATACTTGCGCCAAGTCAAATTCCGTCTAAACTATTTCCTCAATTCATTCTAATCATCTGCGTGATTTCATCTATTGGGAATCTCAGGAGTTAATAAGTGAATTTATACAAACCTGACGAATATGAAGTACTAGCAAAGATGCGAAAGATAAAGCTTAACAACGAATACAGAGACCTGAAATGCAATTTAGTCATAAGATGTTTAACTGAATTAATTTAATACCAAAAAATCGTGATACTCTTGGTATAATGTTATGAATCTGCCTAAATGAAATAAGTAAAAAAGACTAGATTTTGCCGTAAAATGTTTAATTTTCTGCCCTTTTCAGCCTGCGTGAGTTCTGCAAAGACACTCTGGGGCTAATTCTGCACCACTTTCAGGCTGTGTAATAAATTGGACTTATTCAACCAATACAGATAATATTTTAGCCAAGGGTCTGACGCGTTCAAATGTGTGATTAAAATCTTATCATCATTTATTGCGTGGAAAAAGTACGAATAACATAGAAAAGTGCCGGTAAAACTCGAGAGATAAAACATTTCTGTGATTGCTTTGCTCATAATACTCATCGTTGTCTCAGTTTCGGTGGATTTTCTCAAGATGATAGTCACAAATTCCCTACAATTCTTGCGTTGTGTGAAAATCTCGCCTGTGCTTTGCAGATTGAGGTGGGTTTTTGTCAATTTTACCATCTCATAAAGTTGTTCTAGTTTAACCATCACACATTTAAGCTCTTCCTGGTGGTCAGATGTGAAATTGGCACCGCCTGATCCCATTCTGGGCAAAATAGATGCTTTTCAGCGTGACAGAAACCCTCGGAAAGTGAATGTCGGCATTGGTATATACAGAGATAATAATGGCAAACCGTTCATCTTGCCAAGTGTCGCGAAGGCGGAGAAAAAGTTGTTCATGAAGAGGCTCAACAAAGAGTATCTTCCTCACACTGGCTGCCCAAATTTTACACGCTTAGCCGCCGAATTGGCCTTTGGTGCGGATAATCCCATCATCAAGGATGGAAGACACGCAACTTTCCAGAGCATCAGTGGAACTGGAGCCCTTCGACTTACGGGAGTCTTCCTGAACAACTTCTTCAGTGGCCACAAAGAAATCTACCTACCGAATCCATCGTGGGGAAACCATGAGAACATTTTCCGCAATTCAGGATTGGCCATCAATTCTTACAAGTATTTTGAACCGGGTTGCTTCACTTTCAACGAAAAGGTCGTCTTTAACGCAATAAATGTAAGTAAATTGTCTATCGCTTTTTGTCCAGATATCAAGAGGGTTGATAAAAAATATAATACAGATAAAATTGACAACAAAGTTTTTGCGCAAAGAACAGCTGTAAATTGATAAATCAAAGGTCAAACTTTTATTCAGAGCCATGATTTTGAATAGGAAATTCCGGAAAAATCCTTAGTCCTGTTTCACGCCTGCGGTCACAATCCTACTGGCATTGATCCGTCGCCTGAACAGTGGAAGGAGCTTTCTCAGGTAGTGAAGCGCCGAAAGCTCTTGCCTCTCTTCGATCTCACTTACATGGGTTTCGCCAGTGGAGACATTGATCGCGATGCTTTCGGCATTCGACAATTCGCAGCAGACGATCAAGAGTTCATCATAGCGCAGAGTTTCGCCAAAAACATGGGTAATCCTGCCATAATTCAATTTTCCTTCAGAATAATGTAAAAGAGGATGTCTTTAAGGTCTCTATGGAGAGCGAGTAGGCGCCGTGACTTTTGTAACCAAATCACCGGAACAGGCGTCCACAATTCTGTCCCAAATTGAGGGGTTTGTGAAGGCGATGTACTGGAGTCCTCCGAATCACGGGGTGAGAATAGCAACTGAAATCCTGAGCGATGCTGAGCTGTGTTCAGAGTGGAGAGCTGATGTCAAGGGGATGACTGAGAGATTGACTAGTGTGCGTCACAGTCTTCGACAGCACCTTGAGAAGTGGGGATCGGCCAGGGATTGGAGCCGAATCACTGATCACGTGGGGTGGTTCACGTACTCCGGACTGAACTCTCTGGAGTGTGAGTGCCTCACGAATAAATACAGTGTGCATATTACAAAGGACGGCAGAATGGCTCTCACGGGTGTCAATCCGTCGAATATTGAGTATTTGGCTTATGCAATTCGTGAGGTGACCAATTAAGAATTGATCCAGGGTAAATATGGTGTTCAGTTGAGTGGAGCAATAAATTTAAAGAATATGGGAAAAGCACACAACAGTGTAATTAAGTCTTATTGAAAATTGGGTACGCATCTCCCGTGAAACATTGATTTTTCTTGTCAAATTGCACTTATGAAAAATTCATCGAATAATCTTCACTGTATAGGAAGTGTATCGACCAATTCGCTTAAACATTAATACACACCGAGTGGCAGGAGTTGGAAAAAGTTTATGGACCGACCAGAAACTTCTCAAGTCTCTGAGAGATACAATTTGTGCGGGATTGTCCGGGTGGGCGATGAAGGTTGTAGGACAGGGATTGGGAGCAGACGAAGTTGTGTAAAATAATAAGATAAGATTAGTTAGTGGTTAGCTGCTGAATAATTAATTTCATCGCTCATGTGAGGGTTTGGGTGAGATGCTCTATCGATTCAATTAATAATTAATTGTCTTAAACGTAGCGGGAAATAAGTAAAATGTTCCAGCGGCAAAAGATGGATGTCTCAGAGCTTTTTTGCGCTCGCTGGGAAGTTTTCTGCGGGAGCTGGCAAAGTATTAAGAATTAATTGGTGAGCGTCTACACGGGTGTCGGGGATGATGGCCAGAAATCAATTATTTCACTAACCCACCGGGGAATTTGATGGCATTCACACAGACAGCACAGACGGCCAGTTTTCTCAGGCGATTATTTATGAAAAGGAGCCGCGCTGGTACATTCAGAATCATCAGCCCTTATTGTGCCCGCACAATTCCCTACACTAAATCACATTGTCACCCTCCACACGATGCCTTTCCGCGACATTACTAGCAATCTCGAATGGACGGATGATGCCCGCCGCCCAGATTGAACATTCCATGGGGCTGCTCGGCTCTCTTATTGTATGCGAGTGGGGTACATTATTACATTGCCGGACACTCAGCATATGTATAGACCAGCGTGCTTTATCACCGACAGGAACTGGCAATAAATCAAAGCCGCCACCCTTGGCCCGACTCCCTCGCGATGTGTCCTGTGCGAGCGGCACCATGAATTTCAGTAACTGACAGCGACTTTATTTATATAAATAAATAAAGCACGAGTGTGCGAGGAAGCGGTGTCCATATTAATGGAGACGAATGAAGGAAGTGCGTTCCGTACTTGCAGACACGGCCCATCTTGTGGATCTCACTCGAAATTGACACTGTCCCTGAATCCCATCGCCTCTCAAACGTGCTCGAGTCTCTCTGGAGCTGGGGGAAATCCTGAAAGCCGCAGCAACAAGTTCAGTGGGTTTTTCACCCGAGGAGGGTTGGAAACTTTCGTGAAAACTATTAGGAAACTCTCAGAAAAAGTGGTTGATTTAGAGAGTATTTGCAGCAGCTTGTCGCATCGATGAGGAATTTGCATGATTTGATTGCAAGCAATTGCATGAAGCTTTAAGTTCTAATCACACGCACTGCTTTCACAACTTACACTAGTTCTATACCGAGCACGAATTGGAGGAAATCTTCATCTTTTCACCAACTGGAAACCCTTGAGCGCTCTCGTCGAGAATGTGCTTTTTAATGATAAATTAACTGACCCAATTCCACAGCCACCATCTCCGGACCGGCTACTTCACGTACAATCAAACACCAATCCCTGAACTCTATCACACACGGGCTGCCTCACAGAAAATCCCCCACTCGAATCGGATTACGCTGGCCTCACACGTCGGGATCCCGGCGGATACGGGCACATCTGCTTGTCCGGCACATCCCGGCGCTCGACAAGGGGAATTGGACGGGTCAGGGAATGTGGGTGAGAAAAGGTGGCAATCCATTTCGCCTCAACCACGAACAGTGGCAATCGTCGTGTATTTGCATTGATCCCAACCACTTTTGCGTGGCTTCTTAAATCTCTACGAAAGTAGAATTGCAACAGGCGGTATTTTTCCTCGTCGCTTTTCAGCCAACGAAAATTGAATTACTGATGAGTTTCTTGGCATCTAACAGTCTGGGAAATTGAATGAATTTTTTGCAATTTAACTATACACTTCCAGATAGATTATCACCTCTCATACAATCACAGTGCAGAACTCGTAAGCAACTTCAAAAGTTAATAAACACCGAGCTACAGGAAACTCGCAAACTCTCTCTCTCTCTCATTTTGTGTCTGATGTTAGTTTCCTTTGAAAGTTGAAGGGCAAAAACTCAGATGGACAGTAAACTAAAAAGTATGGCAGAGTTTAAAGGCTCATTCAATGATGTTTACTTTGTGGGAAAAGTTTGTAAAATTGATGAACAGTTTTGAAATATCTGGAGAACATATTTATAAGTTTCTATTATAATAAAAAAAAGAATTGCTCGTAACGTTTCCTCTACGAAAAAGGTGAAAACTTGCTATTTCTTGCTGTGAATTGCAATTTATCTTTAATTTTTTTTCACCTTAATTGAGGAATTTTTACAACTGAAAGACGAAACTTGTTCCATTTTCTTCATGACTTATTCATTTAGCATGTGAGTTTGGCTGAGAAGTTTACCAATGTTCAAGTTATAAAGGCAAAGTTTGATGCTCTGGTGTAGAAACTTTTCAAATTAGTCGTCTAAAATGTTTACATTAAAATGCACTAATAGTAAATTTCACTATAACGATGATTGGGTGGTGGTTTTGAAAGGAAAACGTGCTTACTGTTGCATCTTGTCAAGTTTGGTTTCACGTAACAAAATGTTTTTGTCTGATACTTTCATTGTGAGAAGCAATTTTCTCGGAGAAATATTTGTGCGCGCTCCTCGCAATTGAATGAAAATTTCCTGTTTTCTCTCATTCTGTGGATGGCTTTAACCAATGGAATTGTTTCATGGGAAGGGAACGAGCGACGCTACATATAGACTAATATAATTTTGTCATCTCTCTTGTTCAATTTCGTCATATATTAAAATGAATGTGGAAAACTTTTAATTGTTCTTATGAAAACGAGTCTTTCGCTCTTCAGCAGAAAATTTTGTCTCCAGCACCACGCGAGAGTCTGTGCACAAAGCAAAGTTTCTCTTACATTATATCATACACGGAGAGCGACATAAATAAGATGTTGGGTGAAAATCCTCGTCGCAAGATGTTTTGCTGCCGGTAAAAGAAAATATTCATTTCATACACTATATGTACTTCTAATTTTATGTGTGTTAAATGGCATTTCTTCCATGAAATTTCACCACATCTTAGTTTAAATATCATTACGAAAATTACACTTCAACATAATAAAGGAAGCGTGAATGTTCTCTAATATACAAAATGCACTGATACATTCGGTCTTCATTATCATTCAAAAGTTACTCAACAACAAGACAACTTTTTATGAAGCAGAACAACACATCTTCATTCGGAATTTAAACCTGCTCAACAATGTGCTTTAAGAACTTTGAAAAAAGCACCATGCGAATAATCTGTATCAAGTGTTTTAGTTAAGGATAATGCCGCAAGGATAATATCGATATCCTCTTCGATTTAAATATTGTTTTATGTCGTAGAAGATTCAGAATTTCTTGTTATGTAAATTCAGTGAATTTATCTTGATGACTTTCAAATGCTCCTATGTAAAATTCATTCTTTTTTTTTTAAATAAAAAATCAAGAGTGAGATCTAGAAGAACTCTTGACATGCCAAACAACTCTTTCTACACACACTGAATGTTATTCTCACGCTTCAAGCAACTCGAAAGTGTTAATTGTCTTTGTATCTATATGAGAGTCTTCGCCATTATGCGAGAAATCAAAGAGTTGTGTTGTGCAGAAAGCCAGGAGGGATAAAAGAAGCTTCCAGCGATTGAAGCGGTGCACAACAAGCTTTATAATTAATGTCTTTAGAAGCAGAAATCCCTACTCATTTCCCATTCCCTCTACCGTGAAAACTTCCAGCACATGAAAATGGAGAAGCAAAGTTGAGGCATGGAAAGTTGGGGTGCAAAATTTGATTGAACACTCATAAAGTATGCAGTGAGCTTTCTTGGTTTATAGATAACCAACTTGCCTCACGTTGGTCACAAATTTCATCCGAGTGGAGCAGAAATGCGACACTTTTGGTCTCGCTTCTGGTCGTTCAGGACAGGCATTTCCCAAGCAATAGTCCTTCTTCACCATTCAATTACACCTGACATTCAAATTCGATAGAATTCATTTATTTAATGGACATATGGAAAACTTTCGATGAGCAACTTTCATTAGGTTGCATGTGTGTGTATATTGCTGGGACAATCAGTGAACGCATTAGGCTAATTGGAATTGTGTAGCAAATTATGAGGCTCTCGATGCAATTAAGTACTCTGCATTAATTAACTTCTCGTCATCTAAACGATCAATATAGGACTGTGAGTTAATTTACCTAAAGGTATATTTTCACACACTCGCGGTTTTAGCAGAAAACATCCTTATTGACAATTGGTGCAAATGATAAATTATGTAAAGTATTTTTTTGCACGTGGAGCATTCAAAATAGAATCTTTACAACTACCTCATAAGTCAGTTACTGCTGGGGTGGAATGAAATTTCCAAGGAAATTTCATCAGGAATCCCAGCATGTGTGTGAAATAGAAATGCTTTTATCCTGATTTTCCTGAGTGTTCATGACCAGTAACAGCGGAATAACATCGAGGTGTTCACATGTCAATTTGCGAAAGTAGGGATTGAGAGGCAGTTGCAAGAGGGCGAACGCTCTGACAGAGGGTTATGCGAAAGTGAGAGAGAGAGTGGACAAGTGGGATTTTCCTCTCATGCTCTATAGTTCGGGACACCTTGAATTTGCGATGATGAAAGAGAAAATATCCCCACGGACGAGGCATTCGTCTGACGCAGGAAAATATACTCCCGCATGTCTCTCCATCTATCATTTATGGGTAGTTAATGGTGTCTGTTGATTGCCGGATTGTGATGGTTGACTAAGCTCTTGATTCTTGAACGGAATTGATAGCATGTCATTAGAGTCTTTGACGCGTGGGCTGACGTAATGTGTGAGTGCATTTAAATTTATTGCACCACCCCCACTGCAATTCATATGTATGCAGCATTTGGAGCGCAGTGGCACTGTCAA